AAAAGTAGGAATTGGGTCATATTTAAGTTTTGCAGGGAGGTGTGATTGACTTGGCGGCAGCGATGAAGGAGGGGGATGTCAGTGCAAAGGGTGAGGGCTTCTCCATGGAGAGGGAGAGCAAACCCCTGGGGCAAAGGGGCTCCCTGGCCTGTGGGTTGTCCTGGTCCCCATGGCTGGTTCTCCCCAGAAATGCCCTCCATCCCCCCAGCACCCCTATACCCCACAAACTCCTGCCCTTCCTGGAACATGGGGGCAGAAAAATGGCCCCAGGAGCTGGAAGGAGAGGCTGGGGGTTGGGTGCATGGGGTACGTTCCCCTGATCTCTGCCCCCAGGGTGGTGCTGGAAGCCCCTCACCTGCTCTGGCTTCAGGCGCTCCTGCACCCACTGGTACTCGATGCTGGTGATCTGGTGGAGCAGGCAGTTGCTGTTGAACTCCAGGCTCTGGTAGAGCTTGCTGTACGCCAGCCACTGCCTGGGGAGGAGGGAGAGGCTGGGCTGAGCCCCTGGGGGCTGGGGGACACACAGAGACCAATGTGGGTCTCCCCCACCCATGGCTACAGCCGGGATTTGCAGGGGCAGGACCCTGGTCTCCTGGTGCTGCTCGGGGCAGGAGACAGTATCAGACACACCACCAGAGACTGGCTGTGGTCAGACTCCCCCAGGAAAGGTGTTGGGACCCGTGACCCCCTCCATGATGCTGTGCCATGTCTCCATGGGTGTGGGGTACTCACGCCATGACCTGGTGGAAGTCGGAGAGGTCCTTCTGCGTGGCGTGCAGGTAGAGCACGGTGCTGGCGTGCCTGCTCAGCTCACCGTCCCAGGAGATGCTGCCTGCCTGCCAGGATGCAAAAGGAGGGTGACATGTCCTGGAGCCAGCTGGGCTGAGCGAGGACAGGGGACAGGCACTGGGGTGGGGGGTGTTTGCAGGGTCACGAAGGGAATGGATGCACCATAAGGCTGCCAGGCACCCAGCAGGCACCACCACAACCCTCCTCCCCATCTCCTTGCAGCAATGTGTCAGGCGTGGTGGGCTCCAAAGGAAGCCTTCACCCCAGCCCAGCTGATGGAGAGCTGCTTCTCCCCCTTGCTACCTGGTGCTGAAGGATCTCGTAGGACACCAGCTGCTGCAGGAGGTGGCGATGGACGGTGTAGCTTGGCTGTGTCCGGCTGCTCGTGGTGGCCCTCTGAAAAGAGACAAGGCATAGGAGAAATAACCATAACTTGCCTGAACATGCAGAGACATGGAATCCAAAAGGCCAGAGAGCCCTGTTTGAAGCCAAGCCAAGTGCACCAGGGGCAAGGCTTCCATGCTGGCATGGAGCTCAGGGGAGGACCGAGCTGGTTTCCAGCATGTGCAAACCCTGGTGCTGGCACCTCTGGTCCTGGGGCAGGGATCTGGGGCCCCAAGAGACAGGCAGCTTCCCTGTCCTGCCAAAAAGGAACGGGGCCCCCTTCCCATCCCCTCCCACCTTCTTGTGAGTCAGCAGGAACTGCAGGTGACACTGTCCCCGGTTGGGGTACGTCTCTGTCCGTGGCTCCAGCTGGTACCACTGGTCATCCCAGCAGTGCAGGTCCTGCACACACAGAGACAAGGGGGAAGCCCTGGGCAGCCTTCCCGGGGGAAGGATCCTGCTCAAGGACCAGCTCCCACTGCCTTAATGGGGCAGGAAGGTGCTGTTTTGGATAACTCTAGAATCGGATTAAAAATAAAAGATGTATAATCACTGTGTTGGAGTGGCTGGGGCACCAAAGTGAGGGACTGGGCATCAAATTGTGGCTCTGAGCTACATCCTGGGCAAACTCGGTGCTGCCACGGGGCTGGGATCCTGCCTGGACCCCGTGAGGTTGAACCAGCACCTGGGGAGTCGCTCGGAGGAGAGGATGCACCAGAGCACTCACCTTCAGGTGAAGGACCACATTCCCCAGGAAATCGTCCTGCCCTTTGTCCTTACGAGCATCTTTGAAGATCCTGAAAGGCATGAACAAAGGAGGGGGTGAAAAGGTTTCCTGTGGCCGTGACCCAGCCATGGTCAGGACTAAGCAGGGCAATGCAGACCTTCTCCCTCATTCCTTCCTTCCAAAGGCAATTTTAAAAACCCAGCAGGCAAATAAACATTTTTTAAACCCTCTTTCCTCGGCAGCCGTGAGAATCAGGCCGTTGAGCACCCACCGTTTGAGGCCGTGGAGGTCCGTCAGCTCCCCCAGCTTGTGCCGCACTGACTCCACCACGTCCGAGTCCCTGTGAGGGTGGGCAGAGAAACCCACCACGGGGGGGAAAGGAGGAAATTCAGGAGATTGCAAAACGTTTCAGGGAGCTGCAATGACAGCGGAGAAGGGAAGGTGCTGGGAGGGGGCAGGGAAGGGGGCAGAATATGTCAGGATGGAGGCCACCCCCAAAACCAGCTCTCCAGCCAAAATCTGCTAGCACACAGCTTCTAAATAAATAAATAAATAAAGGGGCTCAGGATCAATCTCAGTTGGCCTGGGCTCTCACTGGTTGCATCCTGCTCCAGCAAAAAGTGTTGGGGAAAGGAATCTCCAGCTGGTTTCTGGGGCTTTTTAAAGGGTGCAGGACAGGGTCCTGCCAGGGTCCCAGGGACCCTCCCAATTAATGAAAATACACACAGGCCGGGGGTCGGGGTTGGTGGCCGTGGGACATTGCTGCTCACCACATGTCCAGGTGGAAGCTGGCCGTCTCCGTGTCTTCAAACTCCCTGCAAGGCACCAGCGGGATGCTGTTACTCGAGCAGCATCCAAGGGACCCCAGGGGACTGGCAGCAAGCAGGCAGGACAGCTGGGGATTACAGGAAGGTGGCTCCTCCCTGGGGAGACCCCAGACCACCCCAGATAGGATGGGAAACTGGTGGGAGAGCCGCAAGGGAGGGATTTTTACCACGCTTTTGTTTTTTGTCTCACTGGACCTAATGCGTGGGTCAGACCAGAAGCCTGACAAACCCCAGTGGGTCCCATCAGAGCCCCAGCTCCTGGTTGGGGTGAGTGGTGAACCCACCCATCCACCCTGAGAGCCCTGATCAACCCCCCGATGAGCAAAGCTTAAGGGGTGGTAGGTTACAGGATAAATGTCTCGTCCCACGCTGGGTTGAGGGTCTGGCTTATGACTTGTGTGCGATGGATCTGGTCTTCGGGGATGAGGTCTTTGACCACAGCCTTCATCCGCTTCTTGTGGTCATGGTGGGCCAGTTCGTGGCTCTTGGCCTCGATGCTGTGAGATCCTGGTCCGACTGCTCTGGGAGGGTTCCTCTCCGGTTTCTCACAGATGCCCAGCAGGCAGTAGGGGTCACTGAACCCTGCGAGGGCAGAGACCTCGTTGCAAGTCCCCATCGGGAGCAGTGGCTCTCCCTTTTCCCATGGGACACCCACCCGTCTCCACTTACCACTGACGTCTTTACCCAAAATCCCCTTGGCTTCCTTCACAGTTGCTTTCAGGCAGAAAATTGGGCTCTGGAAAAAAAAAAGTAAAATGCTTATGGTGGAGTCACTAACCCCATGAGGAAGGATGGGGCTCGAGGAGTCACTAACCCCAGGAGGAAGGATGGGGCTCAAGAAGGATTTGAATCATCAGCTGCTGCTCATGCTAACAAACAGCTCCTGAGCAACACCCCCAGCATGGCCCAGGGCACCCCAAAGCCCAAACACAGGGGTGAGGAGGCACTGCAGCCCCCCAGCATCATCCTGATGCGGGGACCCCCTGAGCCACAGCACACTGCGGAGATGCCATCTCACTGCGTACCTCCAGTTCTTTGACCTGCTGCATGATGATGTTGTGTTCCTCCTCATCCATGCCGAAAGCCTGTTGTAGATGTCAGGGACAGTTAATGGTGGCTGGAGAGCATCCAGGGGCTTCCCTCCGCTCCCTGGGAGCCAGCTGCAGCTCGAGGGGAGGGGAGAGGAGCAAAGAGCCCAGCAGAATGGCTGGGAACCAGCTGAAAGCTCTTGAGGAAGAGTCTGCTTCCAACCATCCCCAGTCTAAGATAAATATTTCTCCCTAAAGCTAATATTTCCCAGCTGTCCCAGCTCTCCAGCTGGACAGGGCTGCTATGTCTTTCAAGGTGACCATTAAGTATTCCCTCCATGTGCCCCCCATCTCCTTTAGAAGGGAGGGTGGGCATGCCAGGGGACAGGTTTTGGGGATCCCGTTGGAGAGGTGGGGACCTACCTTTTGCACGTAGGTGTAGAGCTCCTGGGCATCAGCAACGTGGTGGGGCTCGGGCTTGCCCAGGCGGTGTAGGATGGTGTAGAGGACCTCCTCGTAGAGCAGGGCCAGCTGTGGGGGGATGCCAACACCTTGGAAGAGGGCCAGACCAGCAAGGACTTTCCCTGTGCATCCCCCAGGATTAGCAGGGTGTCCCCCACAACAGCTCCCAGAACTCCCTGTTGGTCCCTGCCTCCCCCCTCCCAGCATCCAGCCCTTCCTGGCCACCACTGGCTGTTCCTGGAGAGCATCTTCAGGAGCTGAGCCAAGTCTCCAAGCCCCAGCAGCACTGCCACCCCCTCCAGTGCAACCAAGGGAGACCATGGCAAGGACCACACTCGTACCTCTCTCTTGGAGAACCGGTGGGACAGATCCATCTAGAGAAAGAAGAGAGGTTTCCCATTAGATTGGGTAGAGGGTGGGTTTAGGAGGAAACCATGGCCAGGCGGGGCAGCTGGGATGGGGCAGCATCAGGGTGGGGTGCCCCAAAGGACGCTGTGACACCCTGCAGCCAAGAGACCACTTCCATTATCACCCACCAGTGGGGCAGCAAGGGTGGCAACAGCAATTTGGAGTGACCCATAGGAGGCTTTAAAAGCTGGTCACCTACCTCTTGCCCCACAAAGCTGCTTGCTGGCCTGGCCAGGCCCAGCAGGACCAGGCTAGAGAGCAAACCAGCTAAGGGAGAGGGCTGAAGCACAGGGAGGAGCTGCAGGCTGGGCAAGCAGAAAACTGGAGAAGCCCCACCTCAGCCTTGTATTCCCACCCTTCCTGGGCCTCCCACCCCTAGCCCAGCAAGTTGTTTCTTAACATGTCAGAGAGGCAGAGATGGGAACTGACCTTCACCATGGGCTTGAGGTGCTGCTTTTTCATGTGAAACCACTCCGTCGTGCCTGACTGCAAGAGAGGGGTCCCGGTGTGATGGCAGGGAAGCAGGAAGAGCAAAGCCAGCCCTGTCACCCCTTCACTCTCTCTGTCCCCTGAGTGTGGGCAGGACCCAGGTCCATGCGGTGGGAACCAGAGGACTGGATCACCAGGTTGAAGAGGGGCAGGTGTTTGTCCCATTCAGGGTGGTCTGTGTGGCTTTGCAGGAGAGGGTGAGGAGTGGGCATTGGGCAGGGGATGGATGAGAAGGGAGAGCCATAGAATCCCAAATCCCGGGGGATAGAGAGGGTGAGACACCCCAGTCCTGCTACCTTCAGTGCTGTGGAGACCATCTGGGGGAGGTCAGGGCTGAGCGTGCACAGCTCGTGGAAAGCTTTCATTTTGCACATCTGGACCAGGACTCTGCAAAAATGAGAACTTTCTGGTGAGAAACAACCACCTCTCCCCCCAGAGACCCTACCCAAACAGAGCTACCCCTCCCAACAATGAGGGACAGGACAATTGTCACAGCAGCCTAGAAGGGGGCAGAAAGGGCTTTTGAGGGTTTTTTCTCAAGCTCACAGGCTTATCCCTCATGGTGGCCAAGCAATATGACCCCATGTGCAGTTGGCACCAGTGCTTGACTCACCGGAGCAGGGACTGGAGCCTCTCCGTGGACCTCGGGACAGAGAGAGGGAAAATGATGCGGTACCTCCGGATGAGGGAGACCCCGTAAGTCAGCAAGGACTGGAAGGACTCAGCCAGCTCTGCTTTCTGGGGAAAGGGAAGGAAACACGTGTTGCCCTCAGCATCAGAGAGAGGTGCTGGAAGGACCATGGCATCATGGTGGAGGCAGCCGGTGGCTCCTGCTCCTTTCTAGCCTGCTCCAGGGATGGGAAAACCCCCCGATGCCTCAGGTAACTTCTCCCTGGAGGGGCTTTGCACTTCAACCTCATGGCTATTCATGAAAAAGTTGAGAGGTGCAGGGTGTAGGGATGCCCTCAGAAAACGGGCAGGAAAAAGTAGGAATTGGGTCATATTTAAGTTTTGCAGGGAGGTGTGATTGACTTGGCGGCAGCGATGAAGGAGGGGGATGTCAGTGCAAAGGGTGAGGGCTTCTCCATGGAGAGGGAGAGCAAACCCCTGGGGCAAAGGGGCTCCCTGGCCTGTGGGTTGTCCTGGTCCCCATGGCTGGTTCTCCCCAGAAATGCCCTCCATCCCCCCAGCACCCCTATACCCCACAAACTCCTGCCCTTCCTGGAACATGGGGGCAGAAAAATGGCCCCAGGAGCTGGAAGGAGAGGCTGGGGGTTGGGTGCATGGGGTACGTTCCCCTGATCTCTGCCCCCAGGGTGGTGCTGGAAGCCCCTCACCTGCTCTGGCTTCAGGCGCTCCTGCACCCACTGGTACTCGATGCTGGTGATCTGGTGGAGCAGGCAGTTGCTGTTGAACTCCAGGCTCTGGTAGAGCTTGCTGTACGCCAGCCACTGCCTGGGGAGGAGGGAGAGGCTGGGCTGAGCCCCTGGGGGCTGGGGGACACACAGAGACCAATGTGGGTCTCCCCCACCCATGGCTACAGCCGGGATTTGCAGGGGCAGGACCCTGGTCTCCTGGTGCTGCTCGGGGCAGGAGACAGTATCAGACACACCACCAGAGACTGGCTGTGGTCAGACTCCCCCAGGAAAGGTGTTGGGACCCGTGACCCCCTCCATGATGCTGTGCCATGTCTCCATGGGTGTGGGGTACTCACGCCATGACCTGGTGGAAGTCGGAGAGGTCCTTCTGCGTGGCGTGCAGGTAGAGCACGGTGCTGGCGTGCCTGCTCAGCTCACCGTCCCAGGAGATGCTGCCTGCCTGCCAGGATGCAAAAGGAGGGTGACATGTCCTGGAGCCAGCTGGGCTGAGCGAGGACAGGGGACAGGCACTGGGGTGGGGGGTGTTTGCAGGGTCACGAAGGGAATGGATGCACCATAAGGCTGCCAGGCACCCAGCAGGCACCACCACAACCCTCCTCCCCATCTCCTTGCAGCAATGTGTCAGGCGTGGTGGGCTCCAAAGGAAGCCTTCACCCCAGCCCAGCTGATGGAGAGCTGCTTCTTCCCCCCTTGCTACCTGGTGCTGAAGGATCTCGTAGGACACCAGCTGCTGCAGGAGGTGGCGATGGACGGTGTAGCTCGGCTGTGTCCGGCTGCTCGTGGTGGCCCTCTGAAAAGAGACAAGGCATAGGAGAAATAACCATAACTTGCCTGAACATGCAGAGACATGGAATCCAAAAGGCCAGAGAGCCCTGTTTGAAGCCAAGACAAGGGGTGTAAGTGCACCAGGGGCAAAGCTTCCATGCTGGCATGGAGCTCAGGGGAGGACCGAGCTGGTTTCCAGCATGTGCAAACCCTGGTGCTGGCACCTCTGGTCCTGGGGCAGGGATCTGGGGCCCCAAGAGACAGGCAGCTTCCCTGTCCTGCCAAAAAGGAACGGGGCCCCCTTCCCATCCCCTCCCACCTTCTTGTGAGTCAGCAGGAACTGCAGGTGACACTGTCCCCGGTTGGGGTACGTCTCTGTCCGTGGCTCCAGCTGGTACCACTGGTCATCCCAGCAGTGCAGGTCCTGCACACACAGAGACAAGGGGGAAGCCCTGGGCAGCCTTCCCGGGGGAAGGATCCTGCTCAAGGACCAGCTCCCACTGCCTTAATGGGGCAGGAAGGTGCTGTTTTGGATAACTCTAGAATCGGATTAAAAATAAAAGATGTATAATCACTGTGTTGGAGTGGCTGGGGCACCAAAGTGAGGGACTGGGCATCAAATTGTGGCTCTGAGCTACATCCTGGGCAAACTCGGTGCTGCCACGGGGCTGGGATCCTGCCTGGACCCCGTGAGGTTGAACCAGCACCTGGGGAGTCGCTCGGAGGAGAGGATGCACCAGAGCACTCACCTTCAGGTGAAGGACCACATTCCCCAGGAAATCGTCCTGCCCTTTGTCCTTACGAGCATCTTTGAAGATCCTGAAAGGCATGAACAAAGGAGGGGGTGAAAAGGTTTCCTGTGGCCGTGACCCAGCCATGGTCAGGACTAAGCAGGGCAATGCAGACCTTCTCCCTCATTCCTTCCTTCTAAAGGCAATTTTTAAAATCCAGCAGGCAAATAAACATTTTTTAAACCCTCTTTCCTCGGCAGCCGTGAGAATCAGGCCGTTGAGCACCCACCGTTTGAGGCCGTGGAGGTCCGTCAGCTCCCCCAGCTTGTGCCGCACTGACTCCACCACGTCCGAGTCCCTGTGAGGGTGGGCAGAGAAACCCACCACGGGGGGGAAAGGAGGAAATTCAGGAGATTGCAAAACATTTCAGGGAGCTGCAATGACAGCGGAGAAGGGAAGGTGCTGGGAGGGGGCAGGGAAGGGGGCAGAATATGTCAGGATGGAGGCCACCCCCAAAACCAGCTCTCCAGCCAAAATCTGCTAGCACACAGCTTCTAAATAAATAAATAAATAAAGGGGCTCAGGATCAATCTCAGTTGGCCTGGGCTCTCACTGGTTGCATCCTGCTCCAGCAAAAAGTGTTGGGGAAAGGAATCTCCAGCTGGTTTCTGGGGCTTTTTAAAGGGTGCAGGACAGGGTCCTGCCAGGGTCCCAGGGACCCTCCCAAGAGACAGGACCTCACACAGGCCGGGGGTCGGGGTTGGTGGCCGTGGGACATTGCTGCTCACCACATGTCCAGGTGGAAGCTGGCCGTCTCCGTGTCTTCAAACTCCCTGCAAGGCACCAGTGGGATGCTGTTACTCGAGCAGCATCCAAGGGACCCCAAGGGACTGGCAGCAAGCAGGCAGGACAGCTGGGGCTTACAGGAAGGTGGCTCCTCCCTGGGGACACCCCAGACCACCCCACACAGGCTGGGAAACTGGTGGGAGAGCCCCAAGGGAGGGATTTTTACCACGCTTTTGTTTTTTGTCTCACTGGACCTAATGCGTGGGTCAGACCAGAAGCCTGACAAACCCCAGTGGGTCCCATCAGAGCCCCAGCTCCTGGTTGGGGTGAGTGGTGAACCCACCCATCCACCCTGAGAGCCCTGATCAACCCCCCGATGAGCAAAGCTTAAGGGGTGGTAGGTTACAGGATAAATGTCTCGTCCCACGCTGGGTTGAGGGTCTGGCTTATGACTTGTGTGCGATGGATCTGGTCTTCGGGGATGAGGTCTTTGACCACAGCCTTCATCCGCTTCTTGTGGTCATGGTGGGCCAGTTCGTGGCTCTTGGCCTCGATGCTGTGAGATCCTGGTCCGACTGCTCTGGGAGGGTTCCTCTCCGGTTTCTCACAGATGCCCAGCAGGCAGTAGGGGTCACTGAACCCTGCGAGGGCAGAGACCTCGTTGCAAGTCCCCATCGGGAGCAGTGGCTCTCCCTTTTCCCATGGGACACCCACCCGTCTCCACTTACCACTGACGTCTTTACCCAAAATCCCCTTGGCTTCCTTCACAGTTGCTTTCAGGCAGAAAATTGGGCTCTGGAAAAAAAAAAGTAAAATGCTTATGGTGGAGTCACTAACCCCATGAGGAAGGATGGGGCTCGAGGAGTCACTAACCCCAGGAGGAAGGATGGGGCTCAAGAAGGATTTGAATCATCAGCTGCTGCTCATGCTAACAAACAGCTCCTGAGCAACACCCCCAGCATGGCCCAGGGCACCCCAAAGCCCAAACACAGGGGTGAGGAGGCACTGCAGCCCTCCAGCATCACCCTGATGTGGGGACCCCCTGAGCCACAGCACACTGGGGAGATGCCATCTCGCTGCATACCTCCAGTTCTTTGACCTGCTGCATGATGATGTTGTGTTCCTCCTCATCCATGCCGAAAGCCTGTTGTAGATGTCAGGGACAGTTAATGGTGGCTGGAGAGCATCCAGGGGCTTCCCTCCGCTCCCTGGGAGCCAGCTGCAGCTCGAGGGGAGGGGAGAGGAGCAAAGAGCCCAGCAGAATGGCTGGGAACCAGCTGAAAGCTCTTGAGGAAGAGTCTGCTTCCAACCATCCCCAGTCTAAGATAAATATTTCTCCCTAAAGCTAATATTTCCCAGCTGTCCCAGCTCTCCAGCTGGACACTGCTGCTACGTCTTTCAAGGTGCCCATTAAGTATTCCCTCCATGTGACCCCCATCTCCTTTAGAAGGGAGGGTGGGCATGTCAGGGGACAGGTTTTGGGGATCCCGTTGGAGAGGTGGGGACCTACCTTTTGCACGTAGGTGTAGAGCTCCTGGGCATCAGCAACGTGGTGGGGCTCGGGCTTGCCCAGGCGGTGTAGGATGGTGTAGAGGACCTCCTCGTAGAGCAGGGCCAGCTGTGGGGGGATGCCAACACCTTGGAAGAGGGCCAGACCAGCAAGGACTTTCCCTGTGCATCCCCCAGGATTAGCAGGGTGTCCCCCACAACAGCTCCCAGAACTCCCTGTTGGTCCCTGCCTCCCCCCTCCCAGCATCCAACCCTTCCTGGCCACCACTGGCTGTTCCTGGAGAGCATCTTCAGGAGCTGAGCCATGTCCCCAAGCCCCAGGAGAACTGCCACCCCCTCCAGTGCCACCAAGGGAGACCATGGCAAGGACCACACTCGTACCTCTCTCTTGGAGAACCGGTGGGACAGATCCATCTAGAGAAAGAAGAGAGGTTTCCCATTAGATTGGGTAGAGGGTGGGTTTAGGAGGAAACCATGGCCAGGCGGGGCAGCTGGGATGGGGCAGCATCAGGGTGGGGTGCCCCAAAGGGTGCTGTGACGCCCTGCAGCCAAGAGACCACTTCCATTATCACCCACCAGTGGAGCAGCAAGGGTGGCAACAGCAATTTGGAGTGACCCATAGGAGGCTTTAAAAGCTGGTCACCTACCTCTTGCCCCACAAAGCTGCTTGCTGGCCTGGCCAGGCCCAGCAGGACCAGGCTAGAGAGCAAACCAGCTAAGGGAGAGGGCTGAAGCACAGGGAGGAGCTGCAGGCTGGGCAAAGCAGCTATGGGCAAGGAGACACCGAAAAGCCATGGAGATTTGTGACTTGAGTCCCCTTGCCAGAAAGCAATGTGAGCGCTGCTGTGATTGTGCACTGCTCAGTGTTGAGCTGAAGGTCCATTCCCCACTTGAAGGATGATCAGCAAGAGCATTGACTTTCCAAAAGGAAATTGAATTAAAACTTTGTCACTTTATGAGGCACAGCATGGCTCTGGTGGACCTCAGCTCTGGGGTTGGCCAGAGGGTCCTGCTGCCTACGCAGCCCCCATCACCCCCTGCCTCAAATGTCACCACCCACTCATCCCAGCTCTGACTGGGAGATCAAAGCCCCTCTGCCAAAAACACCCTTTTCCCTGGCAAGCCCCAGCTCTCAGCCCATCCTCACCCCCTGTTCCCTCCCTGACGCTGATGCTGAGCCCGTCCTGCATCAGCTTCTCTAACCATGGGCTGGATTCGGCCACCACCGTGGCTGAGCAACTCCTTCCTGCTGCGGAGCCCGGCCGGGTGACGGTGACTTTGCCACCACCGCGAGCCGGGTGACGCAGTCAGCGGGAGGGGAACTGCTGGCCCCGTGACATCCGCTACGGTTCTCAGTGCCGGAGCCTTTTTGGGAGCGCGACGGGACAACACCAAAAAAAAAAATTAATGAAAATAATTGAAACAAGTTGGGCTCGCTCTGTGCTGAGGGGTGTACGCCGAGCATGGCCCCAGCTCAGATGGACCAGCCCTACCTGTGGGTCAGCCCAGGCCCCAAAATGACCTTAAGATCCCCCTAATAGAAAAAAAAAACAAACAAAACCACCCCCAAGCTGGAATATTAACGTTTGCTTATGGCAAATCTAGGGCTGGCATAATCCCCTGGCCATCTGGACTGGATTCAACTCTTCCACCGCCGGCTGGTTTAACCCTTGAGCTGCTTCTCTCCCCCTTCCCTTCTTTTTGAGGTGCTGGGGGCTGAGGTGGTTCTGCAGCCCCTGTGAAAGGGGGACCTGTTGCACCCAGGAGGGCCCCTGCCTGCCCCTGCCCAAGGGATGGTCTACCTTCTGCTGCTGCCAGCACCATCCTGCCTGTGCCAGGGCACGATGGCTCCATCCCAGACCCTTCAGCATCCCCGTGGGCAGCGCTGCCCCACAGCAGGGTCTCAAGGACAGAGGGGAGAGGAAAAAGGATTTTTATTTCTTGGCTGCTGTTACTTATCAACAAAGCACAAGCATCAGCTCCTGGCCCAGCAGGGGAGTAGCATGAGAGGGCAGGGGAGGAATTGAGGTGGATTTTTGGGGGGAAGCAGCTCCCTGTTGCTCCCTTCTGGCTTCGGGGACCTGCTCTGTGCTCGCCCATAAGTGCACGGGACTGGTTAAGCTAAAGCTGAGCTGAGCCACCAGGATGTGTTTACTGCTGCTAATCCCCACGCCAAGACCCCAGCTCAAATCCAGGAGAGGTGCTTAACTCCACATCCAGACACAGCCACCGGCATCCTTCCCCCCCTGCCCGGGTAGCTGTGGCAATGTCACCAGTACAGAAGGCTAGCTTGGTGCAGAGATGGCACTTAGGAGGGAGGGCAAGTCCCTTGTGGAGGGACACCACCAGCACAGATCACCCCAGGGTCCAGCACAGGGGAGTCATGCCCACATCCTCCCAGCAGCGCTGGGCAGAGGCAAGAAGAGCTGCAGGTCCCATCTCCACAGGGACAGACACAAGGACATTGTCTGTCTGGCCACTGCAGAGGAAGTCGGTTGGGTTGGGCCAGAGCAGGGCTTTGGGGGATCTGCTGGCACAGGGAGCCCAGGGGGACTGGGAGGCACTGGGAAGCTGTAGCTGGGTTAAGAGGGGACCCTCAGTGGTGGCACAGAGCCACAGCAGAGCCCTACACAGCCCTGGGGTGCACGTTTGCAGGGGTATGATACCCCCACATCCCCACTCCTGCTCCTTGCTCACTCTTGCAAAGCATCCCTGGCCAAGACACAGACTCGGTCCCTTTCCTCTCACTCCCCTTTTACAACCCCAGCACCCAGATCTGCCCCCGGGGGTCCACAGGCACAGCTGCCCTGACCCCCTCCCTGCAGCCATTGCACCCCCAACCCTCTCCCCACCCCCCCGGGGTCAAGACCACCTACCTCGGGGCTCTCATCCCCGGGGAGGGTCCCCACGGGGGTCTCGCCGGCAGCATCCATCCCGGGGGGAGGCTGAGCTGGGGGCAGGGGAACGGCTGCAGCTCTTTCTGCCGCTGCCGCCTCTCCCCCTCGCTCGCATGCTCAAAGGAAACCACAGACCTTATCTCCCCGTGGCCATTTTAACAAGCGGAAACGTGCACAGGCCTCCTTCGAAAGCAGCTCGGGGACGCCGGCACCCTGACCCTGCTTCCCACCCCCCCATCCTGCACAGCCAGCCCCTCGGCAACAGGGACCTCAGGGCACAGACAGGATGGGGGCAAAAGGAAGGTGTCTCATCCAGTCCCTGCTGTTATTGATGAGCAAGGAATTGGGAGCAAGTGGACAGAAATAGTCCTGAGAAGGCAAAGCTCAGCAGGGAAAGGGGGTGGTGGGGAGCATGGGTGGGGGCTACGTGGAGGATCTGGGCTCCCATGTGTATTTGGGCTCCATCATGGCCTGAGAGCGCAGACAGGGACCCTGCAGAAAGCAGAAGTCATCTTCAGCCCCATGGCATGGAGGGGATTTGAAAACCACTGTGAAAACTCAGTGGGAAATCCCTGCAGCACCTGTGCACGTTGGACAAGGCTGGGCTGAGAACTGATGCAGTCAGCACACGTGCCAGGAATGGCACCAGAAAAGAGCACACAGCCTTTTCCCTCAACGGGCTGTCCAGGCAGAGCTGGTTACTGAGAAAAAGAGCAGCAGGAAATGGAGTTAAAAACTTGTGCTTCTACTGTCAGTTTTCATTCTTGTAAACACTTTATCTGATTGCAACTCCCAGGGCAGTTGCCTATCACAGACCGGCAGCAGCACCCGCCCCTCCAAGATCCCTATCGAAACCCCCGTGCTGATGGCAAAGTGGGGAGCTGCAGCCCAGGAGATGACCAAGGGATGAGCTGGCTGGCTCCTGGGTGTTTAATGTACTTCCACACACAGCTGAGAGCAGCCCGGGCTGGGGTTCGGAGGGGCTGTTGGGCTGCACAGGCATGTGCTGCTCAGCGGATGGACCCACAGCCCGGGGAAGGACATCAGCCTGTGTTCAAGGCTTGTGTGTTGAGCACCCACAGGCTCTGCAAAGTAGGGCTGTGACCACGGCCAACACTACTGTCCCCATCGAGGGGAGTTTTTGTCTTTCCATCCTTCCTATATCTGGCCCCACAAGTGCTCCTGGAAGCTGCAATCAAGATCCTTCAGATAGAGCCTCTGCCCACCCGCCCTGTGCTGTACGTGGGGTGTAGCCTGTCAGGGATTTCTGCTTAATCCAAGCAGGAAACCACGACCATGGGGATTGCACTGGAAAGTTTGTCCCTGTAACTACTGTACAAGGCACTGCGAAGAGCTGACTCCAATAGCATGGGGGTACCTGCGTGGTGGTACCCACATGGGGGTACCCTGAGGCACCCTGGCTCAAACCAGGGCTGCAGGAGGACACTGGCAGCAGCATCCCTTGTGAGAGGACAGGGGGGAGGCAGACAGACAGTGCCTTTCACCCTTGCAATCATCTTGTCCTTTAATTAAGGCAGATTGCACTGTTTTAGCTGCTTTAGGAGTGACACAACTTCCCTTTGCTCTAAAACCACGTGAGAGCAGGTTATATTGGCTAAAGGGGTTTCCTAAAGTTGGGGCACCAGGAGGTGCTGGCGTTGGCAGCGGGGCCATGTGGGGGTCAAGTTTTCTTTATGCAGGTCAACCACCACGGGACCAGGGCTGTGAGGGTGCACACACAGCCCACGCACAGCACGTGGCCAGGGGCAGGGGGATGCCAGGCTAATCCAGGGAGAGGTACAGCGAGACACCGAAAAGCTGAAAACCATCCCTGCTCTGTCATTCAGCTTCATCCCCTGAGGTCTGAAAAAAAGTCTGCTCGTTACACTTCTGCTCTCTTCCACATCAGCAAGGCTCTTTTGTAACTGGCCCCAGGCACCGGCGCAGTAGCCTGGAGGAAATGGGCTTCAGCATCACTTCCTCTGACTTCCCCAGTTTGGTGGAGCCACCTCCTCACCCTGTGCCCAGAGAGAGTCCATCCCCTCTGCTGGCAGAGACACTCAGAGGTGCTTGCCCAGCCCTGCCAGCCTCAGCCTGGGCTTTAACCAGCCTCACATTTGCTTCATCTTGGACAAACAGTTTGAAAGCCTTCTCCTCCCTCACTGATGGAGAGGGACACAATGGAGGATTTCTATTCTGCATCCACTCTCCCTTGACACACACAAATGCTGATTATTGATCTGGGAGGTCAGCGCCGTGCTCCACCACAAAATATTGTCAGTGGGAAGTAGAGATGTAAAGTGCACTATGGCATTTGAGAATGATCGTTGTTGTCTTTGCCTTTAGCTTTGATTGCAAAAGCAAAATCTGGCCTGGCAAAGAGCAATCACAGAGATAAAGGCAGGATGTGGACACAGCATCCCTGAGCTGCTCACACCTTTCGTTGCTTCTTGCCAACAAAAAAAATAACAGAGGTTGAAGAAATGTCTCTTACCTTGGCTAGTACAGAGAGAACAACCAGTAAAAACTTACTTAAACCTCAAATCTGCCTCCCTTCTCTTGTAAGGCTGAAGAAATAAAACCCATCGCGATCATAAATATTGCTAAGCATCAGGCAATCATTCTCTGGCCAGGAGCCAACGGCTGTGCTGGGGTATTGCAGGTTTTAGAGAGAAAAACTTCAGCTTCAGTGTGGAAGTGTCTGCTAAAAAGCACTTTCCCCAGAAGTTCCCCAGCTCGTCACTGCACTGCTCAGGGCTGGTTTGCAGTGCTGGCTGGAGTGGCCAGCATGGTCCCTTCAGAAGGGCTCTGTGCAGGGCTTGCACAGTTTTGAGCCTCTGTTCATGCAAAGAGAGAGTTATTCCATGTTTCAATAGCAGCAGATATCCTTTTTTCCTCCCGGGTTTTACCAGCAGCCGCCTGCTCCACAAAACACCGGTGGCAAAAATCACTGCGCTCACAAACCTCACTGTACCTGCACCTCAAATTACTTCTTGGCCAGGAAACAATAAGAAAAGCCCTATAAAAGCAGCTCCAGAATTAGGACAGGTTTCTGGTTAGTAGAGACAATCCCAATGAACTCCATGCCCCAAATCTGCAGGACAACCAGGACCTCGCAAAACATCCCAGACACCCCAGGTCAGGGGTCTCTATAAAGGGACTTTGTTTTCCTAAAGTCAATGTTCCATAAAATAGCCCTCTAACTGCCCCCCAAAATAACTAGCCAGCAGCATGTACTATATTTATGCACAATGTGGAGTGAACACAATATAGAGTAAACCCATCCCTTCCTTTTCAGAACAATTAACCTGAGAGGAAACTCCTTTTCCTTACAGGCCATAGGGCTGTACTCCTGGGGGGTCACACTCTGCCCCTGGTAT